AAGGCCTAGTATATTCAGAAAAAAAGTGTGTGTACCTATATTTACATATATGTGTGTGTATATATGTGTGTATATACTTATATGTACACAGATATATGTGTGTATATGCATATACATATATGTATGTGTGTATATGTACATATATGTATATATGTATATGTATGTATGTGTGTATATATGTGTATGTTGTGTGTGTGTGTGTGTATATATATATATATGAGATAAATTCAAGGTAATTAATAGAGGGAAGATACCAGTATTAAGGGGATTGGGAAGATCTTCTTGTAGAAGGTAGGATTTTAGCTAGGATTTGGAGGAAGCCAGATATTTAGTATATATATATTGTACGCACTTAGTTATTTACATGTTGTCTTCCCCATTAGATTGGGAGCTTCTTGATGGCAGGAACTATTTTTGCTTCTCTTTATACATAATATGACAAATTATTGTTGACCCATTGCTTGATAGAACAAGGATGACAGAGTGCCTAAATATACATTAGATCCCAAAGGCTCTTTAGAATCAGATTTATTGAGACGTTGAAGGCTCAGTAAAATTGGGTTATTTACATAAAAGTAGAAATAACATTGGTATTGTTAATTTTGGTGTTCTGTGGATCTGCACTTGCATTGTAGCAAGGGACAACAGAGAATATGGTAATATGGAATCACATACATCACCAAGATGGATGTAGCAACAAGACAGATGAGTAGATATTTTCTCCAATCCTCACTACTTCTTAAATCTCTCCAAAACAAGAATCATGCATAAGAGATAAAGCAATTTCAGCTATTTCCAATGTCTAGGACACCAAGAATCCAAAGGAGGTCTGATAAGCTAACACAATATTCCTTAACACTTAATGTGTTTACTCAGCACCCCACCACTCACCATGCTCCAGGCATCAGGGCTGCACAAGACAATCTATGCTTTGCAGCAGAACTCAGCTCTCATCTTCCTTCCCCCATTATTTCCAGTGTCTTAGAGATCCAAATGATAGAAATGTGTTCAGACTGCAACTGCGGGATAGCAGCAAGGAATAAGAGTGGGGTAGTGCTCTCTGCTGCAACAGACCTCAGCCAGAGAGCTGAGGAACATAAGGATCTGGGGCAGGACACATGTGTAGGCACTTGACTACTACTGAAAGAAAGAGCCTAGTATCTACTAGTATCTACTGGGGGACAATTTGCCCAGAAGGCAAAGACTAAGGCTGGTGAACTATGAATTGCCCATTGTGGAAGGATGCTGGGATAGCTTTGAGATCTAGCCCCCAGGGAAACTATCATCAAAGGGGAGGGAGTCATTAAGTCATTAATAGGGGAAAATAAAGGGGAAAAAAGATTGAAAGTACTCAAGATCTCGAAAGGAGGAAAATTTAACTAAAGATCTTGAACACAAGTAGATAAACCAATAGGGAAGATATGAAGATATTAATAGTGAAAGAGAACATGATCTCCAAATTGGGCAAAAGAATTCAGGCACCTTTGAATAAATATTGCAAGATAAAAGAAAGTGAATCAACACCTCATGAGGCAAAGGACCCAGTGGATTCTCAAGAGAGCAAATAATCATAGAAGGATGTCCCTGAATGATATAAAAGAGAAATAAGAATTGTGAAATCAAAAGTTATGATCTGTACATCAGAAATAGTTGGCAGAATAGAAAAACTTGAATCCATGGGAGCAAGTCTCACCAAAGAAACAAAAGAGAAAATAATTGATTGGGAATGCAAACTCGTGGCAATGAAGGATACTTTGGAACAATAGAATCAAAAAGTAATAACTTTAAAAGAAAGCATGATCTCCATACATACAAAACATATTGATCTCAAGGACAGGATTCATAGAAACAACCTAAGGATTATAGGTCTCCTAAAGGAACACAAGTTAAAAAAAACCCCAAACCTAAACACAATGCAAGAAATAAAACAAGAAAGCCGTCTAAGATGCCTGAACACAGAAAACAAAGTGTCAATCGAAACAATCCACACAGGTCACCTACAGAAAAAAATGAAGCAAAACCAACAACAGAAACCAGCAATAATGCAAAGCTACAAACTCCTAGACATAGTGGTTAAATTTAACAATTTCATTAACAACAATGTATTTTGCAAGTGACTAGGAAAAAGACCTTTAAATGTAAATGAAAGGAAATTAAAATAACACAAAGTTATTTTTCACTCACTAGAAACCCTCAGGAAGGAATGGAATAATGTATTCTGAAAAGTAAAAGAACTTAAAAACTGCTCAAAGTGACCTATTCTGCAAATATGCACCTAACCATTAATAACAAAAGATGGACATTCAATTAAAAAAGAGGCATTTAAAGCCTTGCTAGAAAGAAAAACAGACCTGAAGAAATTGTTTGCTTCACAAAGACCCAAGACAATAAAAATATAAGAAGAGCAAACAAATTCAGCAAATAAAGGCAACAACAAAATAATGGAGAGAGAAGAAATTGGTTTCTAAATTTCTTTCTACACAGCATGACTGGGGTGAAAGCAGAAATCAACAAAAGTGATAATGGAGAAACAGGCTTGAAATATTACAGATTAATTGCGTTTTTCAGGAACCCAGATACTCATTAAATATCTGGTATATACCTACTTATTTTCATATTGTTTTCTTCGATAGAATGTAACCAACAGGGAATCAATGATTTTTTTTGGGGGGGGACTAAATTACAGAATGTAGGGAGGGAAGGAAGAAGACAGAGAAAGAATATGTATTGTACCCATACTCAAGTCAAAGGCTGAAAATCAAGCCAAAATAATTCCTGTAAGCCTCTCAGGAAAGAGAGCCTAGAGGAGAATGAACAAAGAGGGAAAGGCAAGGATTGAAAAGGGTGAAGTGGAAAGAAACAGAGAAAACTTATTGCAGAGGTGGGATGCGGTGCCACTGATGAATATTCCCATGAGAGATGAGGGATATCCTATAAAGGGAGATCAGGACCTTAAAATAAATATAATCTGCAGGGATCTGGTGCTTATCCTGCCTCAGAAGAATTAGAGGAGTATCTTCAAAAATTAAAAATTAAAAAAGGAAATAGACCCAGTTGTAAAGGAAACTACTAAAGGGGGGGAAATACCTTTGGGTCTTGCTAGATCCACAAGAGAATTCTATTAAACTTTTAAAGAAGAATCACAGAATTTTAGAGTTGGAAGAGACCTTAGAAGCCAACCCACATGCAAAAAGTACTAACTATGACATACCAGATATCTGGCCATTCAGCCTCAGTTGAAAGAGAAGGAACCCACCTTCCCAAACATCCCATTTCACTTTTGGATAACTCTTGTGAGGAAATTTAAATCCACTGTAGGAGATTCTGTGCCTGACTTATTTTATATGTGTCCTTCTTGGCTGTTGTTATTATTGTTGTTTGTCCTTCATTCTGGAAGAGGACCATGACATTGGGAAGGTTTTGGCTCTCAGAATCACAGAATTTTAAAGGGAGAAGAGACTGTACAGAAAATGTAGTCTAACCTACTTACACCCACAGAGCTTACACCTGTGGTCATTCAGTTTGGAATTGAACTTTGTAAAAAGTAGTTGAGGTACTGGTTTGGAGTTATCTTCAGTTTCTGGAGAGTGGGCACCAGAGTGCTATGTGATCCCTGGATAAATTCCACAGAGATATAGTAACTTTTCTCCAAACTTTGTTCCAGTCTGTCACTTCTTTTCATTGTTTAAAACATGTCTTCAGTCTACTCACAAAAAAAGCAAACAGCACAACTAAACAGAATTATAAAATACAGGTGGGGAAAAATGCAAGAAAAATGTTTAAAAAGCAAGTTTTATGATTATAGTATTAGCAATTAAGATGGGAACCACAGGAATCTATATTCTAACTTTTCTCTTGCCAGCTTTAAATCCTCGGTATAAAGTGTCTTAAGAATATCTATCCAGCTTTTTCTTCCTCTTCCCTTCTTCCTAGTGTTTGAGGACCTGTTGGTATAGGGAGGGGCAAACAGGTCTAGGGATCATTTTAGTTCCCTTTTCTTCTTTTTCACCTTTAACTTCAGGGGCAGCAAGGTGGTACAGTGGGTAGCGCACCGGCCCTAAAGTCCGCAGGGCCTGAATTCAAATCTGGTCTCAAACATTTATTAACTGTGTGACCCTGGCCAAGTCACTTAACCTCATTGACTTCCCGAAACAAAAACAAACAAAAAAATCTTTATCTTCCTTTCCCTTTTTTGCATTTAGTGGCTAACATTTCTTTTTAGAATTAGTCTGTCACAACACATTCTCCATTCATTGGTAAAGTCCTAATGACCTAGGACAGTACCATTTTGACTTAATTTTTGGACACTGCACAGCCTCATCTAAGTGAAGCTCTTGAGACAAGATTTGCTAAATCCTTTAAAACATTGACTCCATTAGGTTCCTGGAGTGCTAACATTCATTTAAGATTTGCGGAAGGAAAATGTTATTTGGCTAAACTAAATCCAGAAAAGACGGGGGTGGGTGGGTGGGTGGGTGGAATCAAACTATTTAACATAAATGAAGGCACTAATTAAGGGGCGGGATAGCACTCTCCGGATTTAGACGAACGTGGTGACCATTCTTCAGAAACTGATAACTCCAAAAGAGTAACACAGCTACTTTTTACAAAGTTCATTTCTAAACTGAACGACAACAGGTGGCATGAACTAGTAGACAAGAGGTTAAAAAGTGGAATAAAGGCGTTAGGTTAAAAAGCTGCTCCTTCCCTTCAAAAAAAAATACATGGTAGGTTGTACTAGAAAAATCGTAGTTGTGCTAGACCAGGTCCAGATCATAGCCAAGCCCAGGGACGTCTAAAGCGGAGTTCAGAGCAGCGACCTTACTAGCCCCGCCTCCAACACCGTTCTTCCTCCCTTTTCCTAGTACGCATGCCCACTCTTCAACAAAACTCGCCCAGATTTCTTCCGTGCCCTGTCCCCGCCCCCGAATCCCGAGCTGCGATTGGCCCGTCTCACGTGACCGTCCTGTCGGCCTAGCCAATCGAGGTGTCTCCTCCGTCCCTCCTCCCTACCCCACATCCCGGCAGCGTGTACTCGGCCGTACCTCCAGACAGCCTTAGGCTGGTGGTACCAGAGGATGGCGGCGGCGGCGGTGGCTTCGACCGCGCGGTGGGGGCGAGTTCGGGCCGGCGTCATGGAGGCAGCCAGGCTCCGTTGCCAGCGGGGAGGCTCTCGCCTCGGGCGGCTCTCCGTTCTGCCTTCGGCAGCCGGGGATGTGGCCCAGTGGCGGCATGTGGCTCACTTCACCTTTCATCCGGACCCGGAGAACAGGCAGTATGGTGAGCTGGCCGGCCTCGGGTCCTAAGCCGGACGCTCCTGGGGGCGGGGGCCGCTTCCAGCCCTCTCTCGGTCTCTGTGCATTTCCAGCGGGTCAGCCCCTCGGTCCCTACCCTTGTCTCTCTGCCTTTCTCCTTCTTCTTCCCTTCCTCTCTGTCTCTCCCTTTCTCCTTTCTCTCTCCCTCCTCTTTTCTGTCTGTGCCTCTCTGCTTCTGTCTTGGTGTGTCTGCCTCTCTGTGTCTCTCCCTCCTTCTCTCTGACACTGTCTCTCCTTCTGTCTCTTTCTCTTCCTCCTTCCCTCTCACTGTCTTTTCTTTCTTTTCTCTCTGTCTCTGTTTCTCTTTCTCTCTCTCCTTCTAAGTCATTCTCTCCGGCCTGTCCCTCTCCCCCTGACACTCTCCTTTTCTCCTCCTCTTTTCGTGTCCTCTTCCCTTCCCTATTTCATAGGCTCTTAGATATCCAGTCCACTTCCCCCCCTCCTTTTACAGATGAGGAACCTCATCTTCAACATAGAAGAGCAAAGACTTTGCCCAAGATCACCCAGGTAATAAGGGATGCAAAGCATGATCCAATTATTAGAAAGACTAATGAAGACTCTTCTAAGGTAGAGGTAATATAATAATATACTGCTGAGGTAATCTAATAGTGACTTTATAGGTCAAAGAAGAAAATAATTCTTCAGAAGAAGCTGCTGATAACACTGATTACATTTCCTAAAGGACAGAGTCAGGATTCAACCACAAATCCTTTGATTCCCTGCTCTTGGTATTAATGCCTCAAGACTGTTCTCACCAGCCTGTTTTCAGACCCCATGAAAGACGCAGTAACACCACCTAGGCCTATTAAAGTGGGAATGAAAGGTGCTTTGGTGGTTGAAAGCCTAAGGGTTTACTCTTCTTTCTTATGTTGCTTCCTTGCTTTTGTCGGTTCTATTACCCTTTCACTATTTTGTGTCATAGTTCCAGGTCAGAAAGGAGTGCCTTTGCTTAGTCACAAGGGAAAAACATGCCTCATGGTATTGCTATAACTTTCTACAGAATTCTCCCTAACTAGCTGTAGACTAATAAAAGCAAGGAAAACCTTTGATAAGCCAGAGAAAGTAGATGCACAGTATATAATGATTTTCCCAGGGTTACAGAATAAGCCTTTACTGGAATTGATAGATTTGACCAAATGCTTTAATTTCAGTGGAAAATGAAAATCTAGCACTGTGGAGTGGTCTGAATAACAGAATGGGTAATGATTTGATGTTCAGTACCTAAACTTCTGCAATAATAATGACTTATACAGAAGACAATATACCTTACAAAGCACTTTTCACATATTCTTATTTTATCCTGATAGCAAGTAGGTAGTACAAGAATTGTCTTACTTTAGAAGGCAGAGCTGGGACTTGAACATCAGGTTCTCTGATTCCAAATGAACTGTTCTTTACACCATACTACACTTCCATTACAGTGATTGATGGATTGTTTTACTTTTCTCCTCTTAAAAATTTAAATATATAGTTATACAGTTTATGAGAAACAAAATCTTCTGCTTAGGGAGATAACTTATATTTTAACCATATAACATTTTCTTGCACAAGAGGTCAGACTCTTTTGATGTTCCTACTGGAGGAGGGATTCTTAACCTGGGATCTCTGGGTTTGTGTAAAAAAACATTTTGATAACTGCATTTCAGTATTATTTCTTTCTTTTGTGATTCTGTGGATTTTATTTTATGGATTTAAAAACATGATTCTGAAAAGTGGTTGGTAGGTTTCACTAAATTGCCAAAGGGTCCATAACACACACACACAAGTTAAGATCTCCTTTCTCAGAGGAACATCAAGATCAAATCATTTAGTGTTTTTTGAAAAATTAACCAAATTTATTCCAGTTTTCTGAGTTACATGTTCTAATTAACACTCTTATAACCAATAGGAAGAGCCCTAAATTACTCATTTAAAGCAAAGCAACCAATGACTAAAAATAATTATGAAAAAATTGCATTGGTCCACCTCTTTTCTATCTTTGTAGTGATATCACTGTAAGCATGAGGACATTATCTTAAATGGAGAACAAATTATAATTATATAATTATAATAATAGTACTCACAATTCATTTTGTTGACATTTTAAAAGAAAATTTACTTCTAAGCAAAAAATCATTTTTAAAAAGCCGTTTAATTCTGTCGTAGGATGATGTTGAACTGCTTCTGATCTTGGGTGGGATATAGATACCAGTCATGTGAAAGATCTTCACTTTTATAAACTGCAATATCTCAAGTTACTACAAGACTTTGTAGTAAGAATAGGAGATGTCAGATATTTCCCTCTTGATTATAAAGTTGAACTTAGCAATTTTGAGTGAGTTTTTAGCATGAGGGCCTAACTGGGTAATTTGATTCCTTATACTCCTGTCTAGAACTAAGGAGTAGTGGTAATTGCAGTCATATTAGAGAAGATTGAGAACCTTTTCCTTCTCGTTGGGATGTTGCAGTAAGTGTACATTCTTACAACAGTTTTTTAAAACAGTTGTTTCAACAGTTTTTCTCTATAAGGTATGGTGCTTTGGGGAGTGAGGGTACTATTTTTCTTACTGGTGTTGTTCCCTCTAAGTTTCCATTTTATTTTACCTGGGAGCATCAGGGTGTGGCTTGCCATTTTGGTAATCATGGTAACTTCCCTCTTCTTTAGTTCAGATTGTCAGAATAGCTCATGCATCACTGGACCTTGCTATTTGCTTTGCCATTACAGTCTTAGGATTTGTGGGCCTCTTCACTTGCAGTTGAACTCTGTCTTTGTGTTGTCTTTTTTTTTTTTTTCAGCCGAAGACAAGGTTTATTAGAACATCTGTCATATTGGGCAGACCCTTAAGGAGTCTTAACATTAATAAGCTATTGGCTAGATTACAAGAATCTGAGCAGTGGCTAGATTTTAAGAATCTAAGGCTTTGTTTGGCTAGATTATAAGAATCTGAGCACCTTAATGGAGACAAAATGGATACAGAAAGACTGTGGGAGGGATCTAGGAGTGGCCAACTAGTTTGGGGTGACTGGAGGAGGGGTCTCAGGAAGATCTGAATGGGAGTGGCCAGTGAGCTTGGGTGAATGGAACTCCTGGGACATGGACCATGCGGCCAAGGGAGAATGTAGCCTAACTAGGATTAAATGTGGGAAATGGCCAGGGACCATAGGGAGGTAAGACAATTGAAGGTTAGACTAGGTTAAGGGTAACAGAATTGGGAGATTGGGTTTAGCCACAATGAAAGGCCAGTTGATGGGATTATAACCTAAGGGGAATGCCAGAGATTTGGCCATGTGGGAAAGTCCAGGGTTTTTCTTTTTTGGGGTCTAGATCCTATCTTCATCATTCCCCCCTCAAACAAATGGGACCCAAATTCTTTTGGGGTAAGGGGTAAAGGTCTTGGTTTCTGAAACTGCTTCCTGCTGGCAAGGAACATAGAGCTGTCCCTGCCTTGAGGGGGTCTCAAACAGGAGGTTGACTGAAACCAAGCACAAGCTGCATCCAGGGAAAGATGGGGGGACATTGGCTGGTACTCGCTGTTTGCTACCAACTGTGGGTGAATGGCCTGTAGTCTGGAAGACACAAATCTCGCTGAAAAGACTGCAGGGCCCAGATGTGGCAGGATAAAACAACCTTAGCTCTGTTTGGATAAAGATAATTCAGTTTTCCAGCCATGCAGTATCCAATCCACCTCATAACCAGACTCAGGAATAGCCAGGTGGGTAACATTCCTTTTCAAAGGAATATAATGGGGAAACTGAGCCAGGAGGATCCCATCTTAGACTGAGGCTAAAATTGTCCTTTCTGCTTTTCCTGGTGCTGACTTCTCACCAGTATCACATTCTCTATGAGTAGCTTGTGGCATTTCTCTCAGATGGTGGATTATTGATTATCTATGGATTATGATCCATCAAACAACTCAAAATAAATTCACCTGAGCTTTTACCTCAAACAGCAAGTTTCACTAATCACAGTTTAGGAAAAACTTTTCCAGGTTTTACATCTCAAACTTAAATTTGTCCTGGTGTAAAAAGCCAATCATTAGAGATTTCTATACACTTGCAAATTCTCAGCAAGCCATAACCTCAACAAGTTTTTTGGTTAGTTTAAACAGTAAGACAATAACCAACAGCCAAATTATTTTAGCAGTAATCAAATTATGAAAAGTTGCTTGACCTGATAGAAAAAGTTTTCCAATTTGAAACTTGAAACAAACCCATTACTAATCAGGTGACTTCAATTACTTTATATCTCATTAACAGTTAAAACTACAACTGTAAAAGAGCATGCTTACCCAAGTTCAGAGGATAGCTTCTTTACCTTGAGCAAGATATGCTGAATCTGGGTGATGTTTCCAGGCAAAGGCTGCCCCAGGGTCCAAGGCCATTGCCAGTGGGACCCCTGCTAAAGCCCCTCCACCCTCCTTCCTTTTTCACGTTGGGGAGGGCAAAATCAAAGGTGAGGGGTAAAGGGTGAAACTCTCTTCTCCTGTGAGAGGGGTTAACAGATACCCTCTTGAATCAAGGGAAGGGAGTGGGAGAAAGAGAGACCAGGGTTGTAAGCAGGAGTTTCAAAATTCCTTAATGATCAATCACAAAACGTTCAGAATCTGCCAAGATATTTTTAGCTGTTCTAACTTTTCCCTGTAATCCTCGTGAAGGAGAATTCAGGAGTTTAGAGGGAAGGAAGTAAGTAAGCCTCAGGGAACCAAAAAGCAATTGCAGTTTTACCCAATTCTCTAGTGCCAAGAGAATTGACAGAGTTGGGCACTTCCAGATAGGGCATCCGTCCTTGTCCTCTGTGCTGCAGAAGGTGTACCCAGGTCCCAGGCCTGGAACTGACCCAGTGGACCAAGAGCCTGAGAGTGTCAGGCCAAGTGATAGCCTCCTAACTGTCTGCCCAAAAAGCACCTCCAAGCCTTGGTGCTTGGAGATCAATGCCCAGCTGCAGAGCAAGAAAGGGCTGGGGGAGGCTTACATACCTTCCAGTCT